AAAGAGCATTGATTTCAAGGTTTTTGTGTGTAAAATGTAATCAAAAGATAGGATCCTAAAATCACTTAATGTTAGGGGAGGAACGGTTCACAAAATCCTCGGTTCGGTTCACGGTTTTATGGTCACGGTTTTCGGTTCAGTTCGCCTGACATGTTGGTAGGGTGGCCATTTCTATAGCACCCAAAAGGAGGACATTGTGCGGATATCAATAAATTACTACGGTGTACATAAGAATCGGGTAAAGTCACATTTATAGTACAGTTCTTGGTAGTTTAAAGAGGACGTGTAGCTGAATAGAACAAAATATTAAAGAGATGTAAAAAAAAAAAAAAAAGAATTGGTTCCCAGCATTTGTATTTATTTAATACATTGTGGTGTTTAAAAAGTGACAATTTTTTTGACACAATTAATTTGTGGGGAACTGCTGCAATTGATCATAAAGCAGTTGTTTGGAAAAGAAGCTCGAAGCAGAGAAAGAGCTGTAGAAATGGATAATGCAAATTTCAAAAAGTGGCTGGAAAAGAGGAATTCCTGACATGTCTCTCTCTCTCTCTCTCTCTCTATATATATATAAAAACTTGAGTCATGGAACTGTGCTTTCAGCTCCTTATTTAATGTAAACTAATAACTTGTGTACATGATACTTGTAGATGGCATTAAAATGATTTCTAATAGCATTAAAAGAGCATTAAATTAGAGTTCCTCATTCCTGTATAAACACTGTGAACGTTTATTTTAATACGACATATTTTAAAAAATCCCCATCATCATCCAGCAGATGTTCAGTTTGTGCCCAAATATTTTCTTCCTGTTGTGGATTTTTGTAACAGGGATAACTAGGATCATACATAGTTTGTATGAACTGTTTGCTCTCTGCTTCCAACCTCATCATCTCTTTATCCATTCCTGCAATGAGAATTTTCTTTTAAAGTTGTGAGATGCGCTCTAGATTCTCACTTCTTCCTGGTCTGTTGACGCACCAATAGTCTGCATCCAATTATTTATTTAATTGCTTTTAGTTTTTTGGAATATATATGAACTACGCTCTTATTTCCAGTTACCAATCTGTTTTTAACTATAATCTAATTTGAAAAACCGGGTCTTCTCTATATTCTTTTTCCTGTTTGGTGTGGTTGCAATTGCGGGTCTTGATCTGGACTGACCGGAGCGGAGCAAAAAATAGCTCAGTTCCGTATTTTGACAGTGAAGGACGGAGAAGACATACGTGGACAGAGACGTGTGGAGGATGTGGAACAGCTCTGATTGATTTACATGACAGACAAGTACTCCGCAAGACGTACGTGAGCGGAGCTAGGCTCTGACGGGAGTATGTGGAATCTGGGGGTAAAGGAGGACAAATACATGTCCGGCTGGATGCGGCGCCGGACAGTGCAATGAAAATCCGGACAGTCCGCCGTAAAGCCGGACATCTGTCCACCTGGTCGTGTTGTTAGCATAGACAAAACGTGTTGCACAATACTTCCACACTG